CTTCGGACTAGGTGCGTTCTACATGGTCTCCCTGAAAACAAGACCAAGTTGCGACGAGGTCAACCCACTTGATTCCTTTTGTTTATCAAAATGAAATTGATAAGTGAGCACTCCAGTGGATCAAAATGCTTCTATGATCTAACGATAAATTTTTATCAACAATGATATGAAATAATTCAATTAAGGATAAATGATGCGCAGTTTCTAAGACATATTGAATAAAAAACGTAATAAAGGTATGATCCGTTGTAAAAACAAAGCCAGCAGTAAAATTACTAGATTATTCCAGAAATTCAAGAAATCTTGCATCTAGAGGGCAAACTTGCACAGCATACTTCACTAATTACTCACTTTAAAAATACGCAAAGATTGTCATAACGATTCATTATAAAAAAAAGCAAAATGTGAACAAACGAACGATAGAACGATGCAAAAAGAAAAAGATTCCAAAACAGGCTGCCCAGCCAACCCTTTGCTTGTATAGAAGGACATGAAGAGATACTAAAGTAAAGAATCACAGTTGGATGCTAGCCAGAGATTTGGTGAGATTTGGTGAGACTTGCTTTAGGGTCTCTCCGTAAAAGATTCAAAATTTTTGACAAGCGGGGGATTGATAAAGGAATGTGCTTTGAGATAGTAGTTAATTTAAAAAGGTTGTGGCCTGAAGTACCTGATTGACTGTGTTGCAATTAAGCACAGAGATAAGTGGCTCCATTAACAAAGCGAGATACGGCAGCAGCGTGGACAGGCGGACAGGCACAATGACACAAAGTTCACCTAGCAGATCACGAGCTTGAGCACGGTGGGGAGATCGGAGCAACTGGTTTAGCCTAGCCAGCAACTCTGGCAAAAGAGGGAAGAATTCCCGATATAGCTTGTCATGCGCCCCGCCACCAATCGACCGGAAGAGGGTGCGCAGCAAAGTCAGGTAAGCTGTAGGTTCGCGAGCATCGAGGCAATGTTGCATGCTGCCCTGTACGATTCTGCGAAGGTGCATCTAGGTGGGCAAAAGTGAAAACATCCAACAAAGTAAAAGTGAAGAAAAGAAAAATGAAAAAAATAGACAGATCAAATAGGATAAGGGATAGGATGAACACCATTTCAAGCCAAGACATTACAAATGG